GTGCCGCGGCTTAAAGATAAAAAAGAAATATGCCTTTATCCACTTTTTTTTAATGACCTCGAAACATACTTTCGCTTTGTAGATCCTTTACATATTAGTAAATATATATCAGAAATTCTATTACATAATCGAAAGTTAAGCTTACTTTATAAAATGCTTCTAACAATCTGCAAAAAATAATAAGCCGAATCCAATTCGAAGATTAAGGAACAACGCAATCTGCAACATTAACTGAATAAAGGGTATCAAAATTTACAAAAAAAAAAAAAAAAAAAAAAAAAAAAAAAAGCTTAATATTTATTTGTTTACTTTATTAAACATTTCTTTCAATGTAAGTTGTTTTAATGCTTCATTTTTGATATACTTTCTTTTAATTCTATAAACAGACACAATTTCTGTTCAGTTACAAAGTTCCGCTGTTCAAGTCCCGTTAATTGTGTATCGAGAATACCGACTAACTTGTCAATCGAAATTTTTTCGTTTTCACTAACCTCTCTGTCACATTCTTCATGTCTTTATCCATTTTTTGCAGCAATTCCACTTTTTGTTTGCTGGACATCGAAACATACTTTCGTTTTGTGCGATCCTTTGAGAGCTCCAGAATCGGAAATTCTATTTGACATAATCGAAAGTTCAAGTTTACTTTTATAAAATTGCTCTTACAGTCTGCAAAAAATAATAAGCCGGATCCAATTCGAAGATTAAGGAACAACGCAATCATCAACATTAACTGAAATAGATAATTAGATAATTTTAGATTATACCGTTCATTATACATAAAACGCGCATGCGAAAACGTATTCTGCGCTTGCGCACACGCGTATGCGCAGTGGTAAAAGGTCTTACGCGCACGCATAAACGCCTATGCGCATATGTCAAAGCAGCGCATGCGCAGAAAGTTTTTAGCTTTGAGGTCCGGATTATAGATCATTCCGGATTATGGGTGTCCGAATTAACGACTTTTGACTGTACTTTGAAAAACCAAAAATCTTGTTGGAACAATACACATGACAAAAATTGTCGCCATAAAACATTTGCAAAGAAGAGTATTGTAAATTACTAATGACAGCACAGAGATGAATTGCATTGATTCACTTTGCAGAAATTTCAGGGATAAACAATTGAAGCACCAATCACAGAACACCATCTGCACAGCATGACTGGTGGGAAGCCTTTAATAAGCAATGTGGAAAGATAGTTTCTTCAATCAGGTTTCGTATGTGCTAACAAGATGAAACTTACAAGAAAACAACGAGGTGATTTGATAAAGCTGTTTCATCTGAACAAGGAAAATATTGCCACAGCAATATAAGTTTTTCGGCAAAATCAAAAGCCAAGGATTATGTTTCATAAAAACTGTATGTGATTTGGTAAAAAGAAGAAACTGGATGCACATTCGATAGATAGCTATTTGGACGACCATGTTGAAGTTTTTGTGGAAGTGTGTAATACGATTACTGCAGGCCTACTGCATACTGCAAAAAGTATTTCACACAGTTTTGATGTACTGAAAACCACTGTTCTCAAGCTTCTATACTCTGTTCTGTGAATGCTCCTATATCGATTCCAGCATGTCCAGGTATTGCAGCATAGCATGTTGACTTTGTGAAATATTTCATCATCAGATAGGATGAAGATAGCAAGTGGTCAGCATGGATATTGTGGACGGTTGAAGCACATTTCTCCTTAACTGGAAACATTCACTCCAAAAACTGCATTCATTGGGGTGACAAAAATCCTCATGATATGTCTCCAGCACCTTTGCACAAAACTAAAGTGACTGAATGGTGCGACATCACAAGCACGTTCATTGTCGGGTTGTACTTCTTCGCAGAGGTCACAGTCACGAGTATAAAAATGTGCTCGGTATACAAAGATGTTGCGAAATTACATAATTCTAGAATTGCAGCAGCAAAGTGTCAATAATGACTTTGTATGGATGCAAGATGGTGCACCTCCACGTGTCACCACATGTGTTCGTCAAGTGCCACAACAGCACTTTGAAGGTAGAGTCATCTCCAGTAACTTTGCAGTTTCATGGCCACTGTAATTCCCCCACCGTATTCTGATGGATATCTGGTTCTGAAAATATCTGGAATCTAAGATGTATACACTTAATATATGAGATTGTCAGAACTAAAACATTCCATTAAACATGAGGCTATACAGATTCCTCCTGTGATGTTACGTTCATCATTATTGTCAACAATCTCCTACATGCAGTGTGTTATGTATCATGATGGTGGGTGTGTTGAAAACTTGTACTACCATGTAAATTTTTCCTCTCTATATTCTCTTTGTGTTGTCATTGGTCTTTTACAATGCTGTTCTTTGCAAACATTTTACACCAGCAATTTTCATCATATATGTATCATTCTAACACCATGTTTGATTTTTTGCAGTGCACTCATCAGTTTGTGCAGGTAAAATAAGGGTGTTGCAAATAGAAAAATTCAAAATTTTTTCACTGTAACCTAAACCTTGAGAGCACTATTATTTTGAATCATGATGTTCTCGAGCACATACCTTGAAATAACAATATCTAAAATTTTGTTTCGATTGGTTGAGTGGATAGACCGCTAGGGGCTCACATACAGTACAAAGTCTGTAATCCAGACATCCGTTATCCAGAATGATCTATAATCCGTACCTCAAAGCCACAGACTTTTTTTTTTGGTATGCTTTATGCATGCGCATTTAATGTTATGCATACGCATTTAATGTTTACGCATGCACGCTCAGCACAAAAAGTGAAGCAACTTAAACAATTTACTTTAAAAGAAATGTTTAATAGAGTAAAAAAATAAATATTAAGCTTTTTTTTTGTAAATTTTGATACCCTTTAGATCATAATTGCTCTTTATTTCATAAATTACAGTTTTCATATTTTTAATTGTATAATTTCTGCATGCCATCTTACCAGATCTAAATTTGATGATCTATAATCCGGAATCGCCGAAGTCCCGACGAGTCCGGATTACGGACTTTGTACTGTATCAGTTTTTTATGACCACCCCGTACATCACATGCAAATTGTGCTTGTATGTTTTTTATGGTATTTCAAACCAGCAAATGAGCAGGCTACTCTGTCAGTTTAATTTGGCCCTATTTAAACTTCTTCTTTGTGATATTACTCCTATGTATTGGCATTATCTTGTTGTAAGAGTGTGGATTCGTTTAAAGTATTTGGGAAAGTACTACATTTTAGTGTACTCAATAGTCTATCAATAGTAATGAAGCCATTCATGCAATTGTGAATAGCAGTTGCTAAATCCCTAATGCATGAAATGGTTTTACCGTCAAGTGTTGTTTAGATTAAAAGCAGGGCTTCTTCTTCAGTTCTCAGCAGTAGAAAAATCAAACCTTCTAGCCCTGAAGATAAGTATTTTTGCATCTAAATGTTGATTTGGAATGAAGTGCAAACCCATTCAGGACCAGCAAAAGGAGAATGAAGCACTCACACAAGTTTTTGTGTGCCAAAAGTATATGTAAGCACGAGACCAGATTTCACACACATTTCAAGTTATTATGTGCGGACATCTCAAATCAGCTTTTATCTTATTCCTCATGTGGATATGTTATAAACAAAATAGGGCAGAAAAGCTTACTGACCTTTTTCAAATTTTATTGGTTTCACCTTTGTGGACATGTGGAATTCATGAATAATTCTTAGAATGGTGCATTTTGAAGTACCCAGGAACATTTTCATATAATTTTGTTTGCTAACTTCATTGAATTACATATGTTTTGTCTTTCCCCTTGGGGAAAGTCTGAAACACCTTCTGAGTCTGTGTTTCTTTGCCATTTAACTTAATATTCCAGATAATTTTTGTCTACAGACTGGACCTGAGGGATAGCCCACACAATTGACTTTATGTTATCTTAACTTGGATTCATCTCTTTCTTTCTCCTCCTTCTCCCGAAAAGTGAAAATAACAATTGGACACCTTCTGATATGATTTGAAATCTAATGTTTGTGAAATGAGCTGAGAAGAGTTTGTGAAATGATCAAAAACATTGTGAAATGAGCTGAGAAGATATTTTGGGAAATTAAAAATATTAATTTGCAAATATTAATTTAGAAGAAAAGAAAAGTGACATTCGAAAATAAAGAAAGATGGATGTTATATTATGATATGCAGTGCATGAAGCAGTAAGGAAAGTTATCAAATCCTCATATATATACTGGTGACGTGTACTTTATATTGATTACATAGATGATGTAGTGAAGGTGTTTTCTGTATGTTTTTCAATTAAACAAGGTATAAATAGATTGTGTATTTATATATCAACTGTCATCCAATATACAGTACAAAGTCTGTAATCCGGATGTTCATTATCCGGAATGATCTATAATCTGGACCTCAAAGCCACAAACTTTTTTTTTTGTATGCTTTACGCATGCGCATTTAATGTTCATGCATGCGTGTTTAGCACAAAAAACGAAGCAACTTAAACAACTTACATTAAAAGAAATGTTTAATAGAGCAAACTAATAAATATTAAACTCTTTTTTTTTTTTTTTTAAATTTTGATACCCTTTAGATCGTAATTGCTCTTTATTTCATAAATTATGGTTTCATATTTTTAATTGTATAATTTCTGTATGCCATCTTACCAGATTTAAATTGATGATCTATAATCCGGAAAAACCGTTAATCTGAAATCACCGAAGTCCTGACGAGTCCGGACTACGGACTTTGTACTGTAGTATATATGTTACTTTCATGTATCTTTACAGAGTTTATAAGTACAATAGCAATGAATGTATGATTTTAGGCTTTGCTCTTAGAGGAAAATTTTAAAATAATTTTAGTAATTTCATTTTATTGCACATTATACAGACTTTGTAAGATATGAGACAAAGTTTTCCTGCTTATTTTTTTGCACAAGTATTTTTTTCACATAAATTTATTTTTTATGCATGTTATTTGTCTAAAAATAACATTAAACAAATTTTTATAATGCATTTAATTGTAATAATAAAATTGATTTTATAGGATATATTTAATATTAAGAAGTCTGAATATGACAATTATTCAAAAGAAGTTGACCAGCAGATTGAACAAGAATATCAACTTCTGAGAAGGAAAAATGATCTGGATGCAAAAAGAAGAGCAGCCATTTTGCAGAAAATTGAGGAAGCTGTGTCAGTTGAAATTTAGAGTTACTTTCAGTTTGCTATATTACATCATGCATGTAAAGTTTGATAAAAGCACTGGCTAGTTAGTTATTATACCTTTCATTATACTTTTCAGCCAGTGTATAATGATAAATTAGAATAATGGCCATTACTTGTATTTAGGACATAAAATTAATTTTGGAATGGCTTGTGCTCAGATTTTCATTTGTTTCGAGAGTGAGTAACTTGCATTTCTAAATAAAATAACAAATTTTTGTTGGTAGAAAGAATAACATATTATTCATGCTGTTGTTAATTTTTTTTAAAATTTGATTGCTTATATAATGTTAATAAAATGAAAGTTTTATTGTAATATGTTGCATTTCTTCTCTTTGCAAATAGGTGAAATATTTGAAAAACATCTTGGTACTTATTGGTTATCTTTGATCACATTTTCTTGGTGAAAATATTTTTGGTAACTAAACATTTCCAATGACATTTTGGTAAACCTTTTTATTTAACCTATTGTAGTTATTAGTTTTATTAAATTAATTTAATAGTAGCAATTAAGAGTAACAAGAATTTGCTATAATGCAGCCAAAAGCTATAGCTATCTTAACAAGAGTTTGGTATCCTACTTTAAATAAAAATCTGCACAGATGGTCACAGTGTGAAGTTAAGACCAAAGAAGGAAAATTAATGGTATTGTAGCATAAGGGCTGTTAACAGAAATGTGGTTTTCAAGTTGCTGATTGGTTCCGAAATAACATAGTATTATTTTTTTATACTGTTTCGTATATGCAGCTGGAATTATGAAATGCTTTTATTGAAGACTGGAAATGTCTTCATTGTCTAAAACATCATTTGTGTAGAACAAACATCAATGGTGTAGAACAGTTATCTATTTGAAATTTGTGTGTTTCATCTGTGATAGGAAATCATAAAATAAGTGATTAAAAACAAAAAACAAAATAAGAAAATTGATGAACGTCTAATATCCAAATTTAAAAACTATATTGTAAAATTATTTTCTGAACAGTGTTTGTCTCAACTGCATTTGTCACAAAACAAGTGCCTTTTGAAAATGGTAAAGCAGAACTAAAAAATCTTTATAAGACAAAATTATTTAAATTGAATCCAAAAGTTAGAAGAAGATAAATGACTATAAAAATTGAGAAGCCAAAAGATAGAAGAAGCTAAATGACTATACATACTCAGAATATCAAAACGCTTTGGAGCTGCACCAAATGGTATGTTATGAAAGAGTTTGGATACATATTTAGCAGAGTTCTTATGGCATAAATGCTTGAAGAAGCCAATCCTGTTAATGCAATTATAGTGTAAATAGTGAAATGCTAAAACTACTTCATTCCATTGGAAACTATTATTTTATAAAAATATTGAGTTTTCATTTCTTATGTGCAATATTAAAAATGTAAGCTTTATGAGCAGTTTTTTTAATAGTTTATCTTGGAATTTTGGAATACTTGTTCATTTTTGAATTTGTTCAAATTAAAGTTTTAATTAAATTTAAGTTTTCTGACCTGCTTCGTTGTTTATTTTCACCATTAGTACTTTTGTCATTTGGTAAAAAAATATTGTTGCTAAGAGAATGTGATTTGGGATAACCTATGAATACTGAATTTTTTTTTTATCTTGAGTGCAATGAGATATATGCTTTTCCGGAACTTCATTAGTTTTTATTAAACATTAAGTGATTAAAAAAAATTGCAATTTATTTTTTTATCTTTTTGTTTTTATCCTTAAGACGGTGCTTATATTAATTTATAAGAGACTGTGTATGTCTGCAGAATTGTTAGAATATATATATTTTGTCTTTCTATATTTCTATATCTGTTATTCAAAATTAAATATTTAAGCAGGAGTAACTATGTATGTTATTTATTACCTTATTCTTTGTATATGTCTAATCTAATGACGTACCTTTTTATGTAATCCTCATTTCTTATTTCTCTTCTTTCTTTATCTGTTTCTTTATGTTTGTATACATCTTCTTTTATATTTGCTTACTTGCAAAGTAAATGTAAAATGTTTCATTTCTTGAGTAATTTTTCTCCTTTTGTTTATATTTCTTTAATTTCAAGTTTCTTCAGTAAGAATATATTATTCTATCACTTATTTTATTTTAATTACATCAGTGGGCTTGTATATTATAATTTTTGTATTTGATATATAGTCTGCAAGAAGCAAGGGAAAAATGGCTTCTACAAAGAGAACATTATCAGTCACATGTGAAGGTAATCTATTGCAACTTCATTATCCTTATGTGTAGCAAATCATTTATATTTTTGGTAGCTTGATAAATATAACATAAAGCATCTGAACCTTCTTTTTTTTAAAAAAGGAATGTTTGGCGTATGCATTGATGTGCTAGAAAGCTGTAATATACTATCATATTTGAAATATGTTTTTATTAGTATCCTGTTCCTTGCAAATGATTCATCTGAAAGTTCTTTGTATACAGCTAACAGACATCTGTAGAAGCTCTAAGTCAGTACATTAAAAAGAGTAGATAACTACGATTAAGATGGTTTATAGTGTGGTATGACAATAGGTAATCTCGAGATGCACATTCAAAGTAACAATTCAGAGGTACAGGACTTTCGTGTTTGATTATTTTGAGGGGAAAACTCTTGCATTCAAGAGTTATCTGTTAAGACTTATTTAAATTAACACAGGGTTCATAGTGGTCCTTACAAGTGCTTATAAATCCTTATATTTGAAAATAAAATATAAAAGCCCTTATAGGTGCTTATTTTTTCTCTAAAGCACTTACTTTGTTTTAGTGATTTTTTTTTTTTTTTTTTTTGCTTTTAGTAGTTTTTATTTTATTTTTTTAATTTTCTTTTTTTTTACAAACACACATTTTTTCTCCGTACCAAAGCCAAACTAAATAACTATTTTAAAATTAAATATAAAAACTTCCTTCTCTTTAATTTTTTTTAAAATACGAAAAATTTTTAACAAAAGAATTTTAAGGAAAATAATATTAACGTCGTCAGCTATTTTCCCACGGGACTCCCACGAAGTCTGGGAAAAGGAGACTTCAAATGGGCGCCAGATGACCACCCTGATGACACTTACGAATTCTTGAGGTCGAACGTGACCCCCAACAAAGTGCGGAAAGCATATTGTTTTTACGAAAGGAGAAAACTTTCATACAAGTTCTCACGGGTTGTGGAGTGTCCATTGTGTGTATGCGATAGACTGTCGCCAACTGCCTGTTTCTCGAAATAATTTAGATAGACCTCCCAAAAAGACGTTCTGAATTTTCCCACGGAAAATTTCAGTTTCTCAGGCTGTCAAGACAGTATCTGAGAACAAATCAGCGCCTGTTAACCAATGGAGAGATGCTCCGAAAAAGACGTTTAGCGAATCACTGCAGCAGACGCACAAGACACGCCCAGAAAACCTGGACATAAAAACAGTGAGTGAAAATAATTAGAGAGTTTTTTTAGTCTGAAGAATACGCAGTCGTTGCGTAGAGAAGAGAGAGCCTTTCTCTTGTATTTTACGGCTCTTCCCGAGTCGCTAGTAAGCTTTAGAGAGCCCCTTTCTCTCTTTGTGTATTTTACGGCTCGTCCCGAGTCGCTACTAAGCTCTGTCAAGAGCGGAAAAAGAAACCCTCAAAGAAGCGTAGCCGGACTTTTTCTCCGCTACCTGTTTGGACTTTGTTTGAACTCAAGTGATTATCGTTTCCTATTGTAAACGGACTACTTTGCTAAGCAAACTACTTTGTTATGATAAGCAGTTGAACTTACCTTAAAATTCAATTTGTGAAATTTAACACTTACCTTCATTATTTTAATTACGCTACCCAAAATAAAAATCTGACTGTTCTCAAATCGCTACAGCTAGAAGGTATGTGTTAATTGGTGGCAGCGGTGGGATCGTAAAAACCCAATAGACAAACAAAGACGTGATCGTTTTGGAGAACCGTCCCGGTTCTTATCTTCATTCAGAATCAGCCGATTCTAGCAGTGGAAAAGAATTCTTTCGCAGTAAAGTTTGGAGAGTTTAACCAGCAGCTGAAAAGGGATCATCGATGAGAAGCGTTCGTGAAGAATCAACTACTACAAAGACTAGTTCCGGAAGTGCCTGGGAAAGAGTGTGAAGTAAAATTCTCCCTCGGGTGTAAAGACAAGACATAAGAAGTCCAGACAAGAGTGAAGTGTTGTGAATTCGCGTTTGGTGTTTACCACCCTCTCTGTGCAGTGAAAGTGCTTTTGGTGTTTAGTGAAAGAAGAATCGCCCAGTCGACTATTGTTCAATTGGTTTCCTTCTTCGGTCATTGAATCGCGTGTGCAAATAGAAAAGAAAGGAAAGAAGAGCTGTTATTTTTTTTGTCTGCAATGGGTAAGTTGATATGGCATTATCTTTTTAAAGAGGCATTTTAATGGAGTTTGTCTTTTGTGTATCGAAATTATATGTTTAAATGGTTACTCGTAAATGTTTTGTTTTTGATGAGTAGAGAATTTTATAATAGTATTTTCAACCTTTAGAAAGCACGCATCAGTTGTAAATTGAGTCAATAAGTATTGCTCTTTGTGACTAATATTCTTTTGCCAATAAGTATTTAGCAAATTTTTTTTATATACTGCATTAAGTATGGTTATGTGTTAAGCTGCAACAGATTATTTAAGAAATGCTTAATTTACTTTAATTTTTTTTCCTATGTTGCTAATGGTACGTATTTTATGTCATACATACCATAAATTGCATTGCTATGTTGTTTTACTGTAGTATTTCTGGATAGTGTGAAACTTTCAGAGTAGACAAACTGGTACCTTTAGTTTTATTTTATTGTATCATTTTAAAATTTTGTCACTGGCAAAATGTCATATCTTGGCAAGGGTAGAAAGCAAGACCTCATAAATCTGTCTGTAGAATTAGGTCTAGAAGTTCCCCCAAATGCAAAAATACAAGATCTTAAAAACCTCATTGTACAGAGCCCTCAGTATGACGAAAAATTCGTCGAGGCAACACTAGAGTCGATTATCGAAGCGCGAATCGAACAACATAGACTCGAAGAAGCCGAAGAGCGTAAACTTGAAAGGGAAAGGGAGAGAGAATTTGAATTAGAACGTCTAAGGTTGACAAACGCCAATAATGGCAGAGAAAATTCTCAAAATAATATTCCGAGATCTATGAGAGATTTGCAAAATTTAATGCAGAGATATAATCCCGAATCATCGGATATTTCGCTTTACTTAGCGATGTTTGAGCGTCAGGCTCGCAAAGCGAAGGTAGAGGAAGGAGACTGGGTGTCACATTTGATGGCTCTATTGCCAATGGACATTGTTTCTATTATTCTACGAGAGCCGGAACAGGAGCTAGATAATTACTCCTACGTAAAGAAAATTCTTTTGCAGCGGTTTAAGTTGAACCCAGAGGCGTTCCGCGTCAAATTTGTTCAACACCAGCGTCGTGCGGGTAGTTTATATAAAGACTTTGCTTTTGAGTTAAAAAACTATCTAGATGAATGGTTAAACGGAGTAGACGTACGAGATTTCGATGCGCTAAAAGACTTAATGTTGACGGATCAAATTAAACGTCGAGTAAACAGCGAAATTCGCGAACACTTCGTGGATGAGTGGCCGCGTATAATATCTTCTGCCGAACTAGTGAAGAAATTAGATGAATATGAAGCAGTACGAAAGTCCGTAAAAAAAACCAACAGGTTTTACTAAAAATACCGAACAGGATTCAAATATTAACGAAAGGAAAAAAGGAGAATTTTCAGATCGAGTACGTCGCCATGATAATGTTTCGAAAGAAAAAAACTGCGGAGAAATGGAAATCAAGTGTTTTCGAAAAACGAAGAATACCTAGATGTTATGAATGTAATTCAGATAGTCATCTCCGACCTCAGTGTCCTCGGTTAAAAAGACAAGAGGCCGCTGAAGCTGTAAACAAACTAGGCACTTCAGAATCTCCAGATACATGGCTAGCTCCCTATATGAGTATAGCGAGAGTAAATAATCGAGAAATGCCTGTACTCCGAGATACTGGCTCCACTATCGATCTGATCGGATGGGACCAAGTAACACATCAGATGCTTCTAGGAGAGACAGTGTGGGTTAAGCAGCCGCTAGATTTACATTCCTTGTGTTTACCCTTGGCTCGAATTGAATTAGAGGGAGAGGACTTTGGGAAAGTCATTACTAAAGCCGCAGTGATTAGCTCCGACCTGAATCAAGAATATTATCTGCTGGGAAATCGAACAGCCCGATTGATAGAACAGAATAAAATGCAGCCCCATAAAATCAATGCTGTTATGACTCGCAGTCAAACGAAAGCTTGCAGCAGGAAAGAAAATTCCCCTAGCCAAGGTCCAGAGAACAAAGAAGTTGAGCGCCCCGCGGGGCGAATGAATGACGAGGAGGAGGGTGAAATTTCCCCGTTAGAAGGGTCAGCGCGGGATGCGCAGAAGGAGAAAACCACTTACCCCCCGGTCGAATGACGAGCCGATGAATACTCTATTAGGAGTGACAAAGGAAGATTTTATCAAGGCTCAAGACGAGTGCAATACCTTAAGCGATCTCCGAAGGCAGGTACAAGAACAAAGGACCGCTGGAAAACGGGAGTTTGTCCGAGAAGACGGTTTGTTTTTTCGAATTTCCGAAGATCACCATGGGAATAAAAGAAAACAGCTAATCATTCCTGAAAAGCTGCGGGAAAAGGTAAAGGTTTTGTGCCATGAAGGAACGGCTGCAGCACATTTAGGGGTTACGAAAACGAAAGATAAACTTTTAAGGTATTTTTATTGGCCAGGTTGCTTTAAAGAGATAGAAGAGCATGTTCGCACGTGTGTGACCCGTGTCAAAAGGTGGGAAAACCCGGAGAAAAGAAAAAGGCACCTATGAAATTAGTACCCATTATAACTGAGATTTTTTCTAAAATCAATATCGATGCTTGCGGACCCCTACCAGTCACTCCGAACGGAAATAAATATATCATAACTGCCATCTGTATGTCCTCCAAATATCCTGATGCAGTCCCCGTTGCAGATATCAGTTCCGTGACGGTAACGGACGCGTTGATGAAAATTTTTAGCAGAATGGGGTATCCCAAAGAGGTCCAATGTGATCAGGGAACTTCCTTCACGAGCAACCTAACAACCGAGTTTTTCACAAAATTTGGTATCAAAGTGACTCACAGCTCTGTTTATCACCCGCAGTCGAACCCCGTAGAGAGACTTCACCGCACAATCAAGAGACTCTTGCGAGTGCTGTGT